TCTAAAGCTCCTAGAAATTTTTAATCTCAAATTCTCAATGCATTATTTTTAGTTCTTTTTACGTGCTGCTTGTTTTGAGTTTCAGAGCTACCAGTCACTGTAAAAACTGTTCATCCCTCGTGTGAAAGCCATGCCTTTCTAGTCTGTTCTGTGTTGTTCAAGAGTTTTGTTTTGATTAAATTCTAGCTGATTGTTGTCTTAGAAGGGCATGTTATGTGAAATGTAAGATATTTTATTTAGAGCTTTCCTTGCTTCATAGCAGTTAGTAATTATCAACTATTATAGGTATGGATCCCATTGCAAAAAGATTCATGTGGGAAGTAATATCCCGCCTATCAACCAGACAAGGAAAGACAGCTGTGATCCTTACTACCCATAGCATGAATGAAGCCCAAGCTTTATGCACCAGAATCGGGATAATGGTATCATTGTTCCTCCCATTCTAAAAACTTAAGCAACTTGTTGGCATTCACTTAAAGTGCACTGTCTTCCATTTAGGTTGGAGGCATGCTAAGGTGCATTGGAAGTCCCCAGCACTTGAAAACAAGGTTTGGAAATCATCTTGAGCTGGAGGTATGTAGTTAAATATGATGTCATTATTTGATTTAATAGTGTTTAATATTCCAACTTAATACACTCAAACACTCGTAATGTAAGAAATTTTCACCTGCAATCAGGTCAAACCCACTGAAGTGAGCTCTGCTGATTTGGAAAATCTTTGCCGCATTATTCAAGAACGGCTTTTTGACATTCCTTCCCATCCAAGAAGCCTACTAGATGACCTTGAAGTCTGTATTGGGGGCATTGACTCCATTACATCTGAAAATGCATCAGTAGCAGAAATTAGCTTGTCAAAGGAGATGATAATTGTTGTAGGACGTTGGCTTGGAAATGAAGAAAGAATAAAGACTCTTATTTCTTCTAGACCGGTTTCTGATGGGCTTTTTGGTGAACAGTTATCAGAGCAGTTGGTTCGAGACGGTATAAGTGATCTACTGATGTTGCTTATTTTAATAGCCATTCACTGCTGATGCAATTTTTGCATTTAATAGAAGATGTGAAAAAAAGTTTCTTATCACAAATTTGAACTTGCATTGCACAAAGACTAGGAATAAAACAAGACATTTCTAATTCATAAGGGCAATGACATTTTTAATCATGTTATCGTTTCCCCATTGTTGCTTACATTTTCTTTCTTATAGCATTTTTGGCTTATTGTATGAATTTCTCTAGGGGGTATACCATTGCCAATATTTTCTGAGTGGTGGTTAGCTAGAGAGAAGTTTGCAGCCATTGATTCTTTTATGGTATCTTCATTTCCTGGTGCAACTTTCAACGGGTGCAATGGAATAAGTGTTAAATATCAGGTAACATTCATAGCTACTTACAGCTATATATGCCCTCCTTAATTTTTAAGTAAGAATAATCCCTTAGTTTTCAATGAATTTTCAATTGTTTGATCGATTTGGGAGTAATTCTATGGTCTAATCACTATTGATTTGTGCTATATTTTTTGCACTAGAAGCGAGTCATGTCAGATTAAACATGAGATATTTCAGCTCTGTATCTAATCAAAATAGTAGTTGTGTTTAATTTTATGGTACCTACATTTCTTAAATAAAATGAAGCTTATAGGAGATGATGAGGAAATAAGTTCATATATCACATGGCCAAAGACCATGATAAACCCATGAAGAAGCTGAAGCTTCTCTTGGGTGCTTGGCCTGGGGCCTGTCATCAGCAAGATTATAATGGGTTCATGTGACACGCCTTGTTACTATGTTTCAAAGTCTATTCATTTTTTTTAGTACAGGATCCATTATCAGTTACAGATTTGCATTTTAGGAAAATGAGATCCATTGCCTTTGTTGTATTGTCCTTTACTTGGGATAAGTACATCCTTTAGAATCTTTACCCTGCAAAATATTGTAGGCCTTTCATGACTCCATTGCCTTTGCTGTACTGTCCTTTACTTGAGATAAGTACATCTTATACAATCTTTACCCCGCAAAATATTGTAGGCCTTTCGTAACGCTGAAATATAATGGGGTGAATGTGTCACTTCAGTCTCATAAGTTATCATAAGCCAAATTAATTCTCGTATCTTGTATAACAATCCAAAATCCAATGTTTTCTACATCTCATATCATATGCCAAATTAATTCTCAAGTATTGTACCTAGATGAAGCAGAAGAATTTGTCATTGTCATAAATCTGATCTTCTACATCACTGTAGGTTGATATAATCAATTTTTTCTACATTATTGCCGCTATAGGGTTTTTCGGTGTAATTGAAACATTGTTTTTCTTATCTTAGCTTGAGTGACAGTAACCGATTCAGAATTTTGTTGCAGTTGCCATATAGGGAGGGTCTCTCACTTGCAGATGTTTTCGGGCACCTGGAGAGAAACAGGTTAGCATCTCTCTTTAACTGCCTTTCCTTTTTCTTTCTATAATTTTTTTAAGGGACTTTACAATGATACTGATTTTTTAAAATTTTTTATCAGAAATCAACTGAGCATAGCCGAATACAGTATCAGCCAATCAACTCTTGAAACTATATTCAACCATTTTGCAGCTAACTCCGGATAGATCAAAAACATTAGTGCATCTTTACATTTATGACCCTTTTTTTTTTAAAACGGGTCACATTTGGTTAAGCTTCTCCCTTGTTCTTTGTATAAGATTTTCAGGGAAAATGTAAAAATAAAAAGCAGGCAATATATATTATTGCAAAAACTAGAGCACATTGAAATGTAAATTTTGCCTATCTAATTCAAAAGAAATATAATTTTACAAGATTACAGCCCTGTCCCTGCACTAGTCCAGATTTGATTGGGACAACAGGTGGCCATTGAAAGTTTGAAGCATGGAATAAATCAATTGTTGATCTAATTGACACCAATGCTGACTCTGTAAGATCTGCTTTAGACCATTTAGATAGCACTGCATCTATGAGTATTTTTAGCTTCCAGGCTGAGGATCCTGACGGCTGTCTTGTCGGTTATCATCGTGACTTTTGTTACTTTTATGTTCTGCTGCCTAAATGGCAGGCTATAATAGCCGGATTGTATGGATTTTCGAATTACAGTAGTGCTAGAGTATCTAGGTTTATTTACTCTTGCATACGTTGACCAATCTAATTTACTTTGTTTCCACTCACTCAAGAAAAGAAGCTAGTATTTCCAGGTTTTGGGGGTCAAGCCGAAGTAGCCAAAGTCATTGTGATCACTTTGAGGCTATGTACGTTACCCATGCATTTGGTAACAAAGAGAATTTTGTCACATGATATTGGCGTGGTGAATGAGTAATGCCAATGCCGTGTGTCTAAATAATTTCTCAGCACTTTGCTTCAATTTGTCTAAGTAAATTCCTTTCCTTTCGTAAAAATTCCAACTTGCAATTTTAACTTAATTAAACCAAATATTCTAACGTTTAAGGAAGGAAAATTCTTCTTAACGACACCTTTCGTTTTCTGTGTCCCTTCTTTTCTTTCTTTTTTCAATTTATTACTAGGCCACGATATAATTAATATAACCACTTAGTCAGAGTATATTATTTTACTCAATATATTTCTAATTATTAGGGAAAAAAATGGAAGTAATATTCCTTGTTTATGCAACCATAAATATATATTTCTTGTTCGGTAAAAATGGAATTTGATGTTAAATTATTAATATATCCAGCTATTCTATCTTCTCCGTGTATTTTAAGTTTGACATTGGAGATGGACAATATTTCAAAATTTTTACGTACCCAAAAAAAAAAAAAAAAAAGGAGAAGAATGTCACAGAAAATATTTATATAGTTTATATATTATGATATATGAATAAATAGTTGGTTAAATTTTTAATTTTAATGAGTCGTAGCTTCAAATATATATATAAAAACAACTTTTATATAGGTATGAACCAATATGAACATAATAAGAATGTATTAACCAATTAAGCAATGGACCCATTTTGTTTATACGTATAAAATAAAATATAATCATAATAACAAGGCCATCTTGTCACTGCATTTTTCTTAAAATTTGCATTTGACTCATTTTTGAAGGTATAATAACCTTGAAATTAAATATCGTATTCACTTTATCTTGTACCTTTCGCCGTCCGGCTCTGATTTTCCAACCCATTCAACACTTTTGCTGGTCAAATACAGGTTGCTATCTTTATACATCATTGTTCTTATCGTTTCAAAAAAAAAAAAAAAAATCAAATACTTCTAAATCATATATATGGATCAGTCTTACCTTCATTTTTAATAAAACCAGCAAAATGTCAAAGAGAAGACATTTCAAATCAGCTTCTAGAAAACTAAAGACTAGTTCATATGTCAATCATATTTTTTGACTTTTTTTCTTTTTTGTTTCTGTGGATGAATTAGACCACATATATTAATTTGATTTGCAAATTTTGTGAAAATCGTGTGCCACCCAAGAAAGAAAATCAACTGCCAGCAATTGTCCTAGTTGACAATTTGAGGGAACGGAATTTAAGTTTTTGGGGACTTTGTCAATCTTTTTAATACATACCGGCCAACTGCTCGTAAACTTAATATTATGAACATTTTTTTCTACACTGATTTAGACCCCCAAGTTATTATATTTTTTATCTATTTGCAGTCACTAAGGGATAAGGAAAAATTATATCATTTGGTCTTAGGGTTTGTCAGACATATAAGAATGTAAGATCAGGGGATAGTTTTTTTACAAGTAGAGTTGAAGTAATAGACAATGGGTTCCATAATAGGAGAACATATAGAAATTTATACTAGAATGTATTTTACGTATTTTATTTATGCAATAAATTTTTTATTTTAAATTTTAATTTTATATAAATAATTTTTTTTTTTAAATTTCACGAACTTTACTTAAAAATATATTGTATAAATTTTTTTTGCGTGTTTAATTAATTAAGATTGCATTTTCCAACAACATATAGAAGCTTGTTTTCAACTACTAAAATAAGTCTAGTAAGGCCAACCAAAAGCGTACATACACATGCAAAGTTTATCATGACTACATGCATGCAATCGTAATCTATATTTATTAATTTTTGCTACGATTTCGTATATATCCTCCTGATCAGATTTTTTTTATACAAAAAAAGTCATAGTTCAAAGATAAGGGAAAAGATTGCAAGTACTTATATTCGAATCCAAGGCCTGATAAATGCTAACTACACAAACTAATTCAGCTAAGTTTTGGATTTCTTTTATGATCATTATTTGCAAGATTGAGACAGTAAAATGCTTGCGCTTTCACTGATGATCTCAGCTCGCCTTCTTTTCCTCTCCCTCTCTCCTTCAGCTTCCAACCTCACTCCGAACAGCTTCGGACTCTCGTGCTCTTCTTTTTCCCTCTCAAACTGTGCATACTTGGTCACCAACTCAAGAAGCTCCTTACATTTTCTCTTCATGCTCGTCAGCTCCAAGCGTAGGATCCCGTTTTCCTTCCTCAGACGCTTGTTTTCATCGACTAGGTTGTTGTATCCTGAAGATGAAGAAGTTGACGAAGATCTCTGATCTTCATGATCAGACTCCTGAGGTGACCCTTGAATTATTGATGCAGCTGTTTGTTGCTTATTATTTGACCATGCTTTTCTTCTTCGGATATTGCAAAGTAGCTCTCTTTCGCCCTTCCTAAACATGTCGGTGCAAAATTCCCATCGGCTAGTTGCAACTTTCCGAAATCCCTATACACACACGCACGCGTGTATATGCTTTCGTAAGTGAATCTTATAATGATATTTTATAAAAATTTAATTTTAAATTTTTAAAAATATATTTAAAATTAATTATTTTATGAAACACCATTGTATGATTCACTGATTATATATAATATTTATATATTAATATTGCATCAAATATAAATTCTAAAAAATAATAAAATTTTGATAAACATATACACAAATGTTTAGTTCATGTTATATCAGGCCAATAACCTTATGATTCCTACTTAATCTATATATACATATATATATATATATAAACAAGTCAACTCAACCTAAACAATAGAAATTGATGCTATAGGATTTTATTATAAACGTACAAAATTTGGTTGCAATATCAATTGCTAATATCAATAATAAAGAAAAAGCTTACTTACGTAAGTATTAAGCTGGCGGACAAAGCTAGAGAAGTTGCTGTGCTTGAAAAGTGTTGGGAGGAGATCTTGAGCAAACTCCGCCGGCTGCCACACCACGAACCCTGTCCCGTCGGCGTTCCAGGATATAATATGGTCGGTGGCCGGATCCTCCACCAGCTTGTATGTCTTCAACAAAAATGGTGGTGGTGTTGATTTCCTAACATATTCTAACAAACCCTTATTATTATTTTGATCACTTGCGGCCATAGACTCCATTAATTACCAAGTTTGGAAACTGAAATATACTATATTTGGAAGAAGAAGAAGAAGAAGAAGAAGAAGAGATTAATCAAGGAAAAGAGGAGAAGAGAAGAAGGGCAGTTAAGAACTCCCAACCCCAACAATAGAAACCCAACACGACTCCACAGTTCATGAGAAATGCAAGGCCTTTTCCTTAACAATTCCTCTCTTCTTTCCTATTTCTCCCTAAAACCAAATATATATATATATATATATATATATATATATATATATATATAGTTGAAACGTATGTTCTAAGCCTACCGCTTTTTATATTATAGTACCTTGGGAATTTCACATCATCAATATTTATATAAGAATTGAAGTCTGAAATGGGTAACCTATATATATTACAATAAATCAATTTCACATGAATTTATATGAGCTAAAATTTAATTTAATTGATTTATATTATTATTTTTAAAAAATTATATTCAATAAATTTAAAAACTAAACTTTAATATTTTTTACCATTTATCTTATTTTTAAAGTACGTGTATAATCAATATCCTATATATTACAAAATAAAAAGAGTTGATTTAGTAAGAATGAATGGATGAGATTGGCAAGGGACTAGAAGAGTCTAAGACGGGTAACCTTAGTGTAACAAATTCTCCAATAGATAAAAGAATAATGTTAGTTTAGTTGTTTCTCAGATTGTTGATTTTGATTTCTTCTTCCTTCATGATCTCATGCTTTTGATTTTTTAAATATGACAAGTGACTTTCTTGACCATGCGCTATTTCCTGCCCCCACTTGCTATAGATGGGAGCTTGTGCAACACACTCCAATTGCTCCTAAATGGTGAAAGAATAATAGCGTTGGTCACTTGGTTGAGCCATTGCTCTCCTTAATTAAATAATTGGTGAAAATTCTTTTGAATTAGAAAGTAAGAAGTTAGGGGGAGATTTAGTTATGATGACACTCCTAATAATTACATAAGTTCAAGAAAAAATATTGTTAAATTTGTCAAACCTTTTTTTTTTTTTGGCAAAAGAGAGAAAAAAATAAAGATGTTATTTAACATTAAAATGACCAAAAATTTTTTTATTCCGAAAATATCTTTAATTTAATTGTGCAAAGAATTCATGAGATATAGTTAATTTTTTATTCAAAACAAGTGTAATTGATTTTGAAAGTAAAATTATTAAATTTGTAAGATAAGAAAAAAATTAAAATTGAAAAAATACCTTTTCTTAGTTTTTAGAAATTAATAAAGGTCTGTAAACAAAACAAATATAATTAATGGTTTTAAATGATATCGGTATATCTTCATTTTATCGAGGAAAAAAATTTATTTTTAATTTATTTTTTATAATGAAAAGGTCAAGATTTATATAAATAAAAAATTACAAGTGTAAGGATCGAATTTCAATTTCATCAACAATTTGAATTAAGTTTTAAATTTTTGAACTCTACTTTTTAAATAAAAAAAAATTCGTGTATTTGTCATTAATTCAAATATTGATCAATTTCATAGGTATATACATATGCTTTTTAATGTAACAGTTAAATGAATAAAAGTCGAATAAATACCAATGTCCAAATTACTAACAAAAAGTAAGCATTTAGTACAAACGAAGAAGGTTTGCATTGATTTGCATTAAATAAAGCTATTGAATTACATTATCATGTATTGATTAACAAACAAAAGGTCAAGATGGCCTTGATTTGATTTTATTAAATTTCTGGTTTATTTTGGTCAACAATTTTATCATTTATTAAAAAGTCAATAATGTTACAGTTAGTCAATCACTTTGGCACATTAGTAACTCTGGACTTTTGCACGTTCCAATGAGGAGGAGCGTGGATTACACGCTTCTATTCATTGGTAAGGTGAGAGTAGCTGTGGGACAAAGGAAAAATAGGCATGTAGACACGTATTGGAAGCTTCTGAATTTGGTTGGGCAGCTGTGCTTTCTTGACTTGATTATAATTTTAGTTTTAATTTGTTTATTTGTAAAAAAAAAAAAAGTAATTTTGTTTATCTGTTTATATTATTTTCTACATTCACCCCTCCAAAAAAAAAAAAAAAAAAAAGAAAGAAACTTTCTGCATGTTTTGTAACTTTGGGATGGCTTTTGTCTCCACCATTCCTTCAACAACCATAGCTTTTGCTTTCCCATTTGTTTCAACATGGGAATTGAGATTTGGATATTATAATTTAAAATATTTTAAGATAATACGAGATAAATATGATATAAAAAATAAATATAAAAATAATATGTTTTAAAATTTTAATAATTATTATATATAAATTTAAAAAATTTAAAAAATTATTTTTTATATTTTATATAAATATTAGTTGTGATATATAATTTTTATATAAAATATAATATAAATATATAAAATTTAATATTTTAATAATATAAATATATCAAATTTATTTAAGAATAATGTGAAAATCGCCCAAAACTGGGGCAGGAGCATCACAACTCCCCCTTTGGGCCCGGCCTTAGTTGGACTTTGGTGCCTTCCTAACGAGTTTAATCCACGAGACTGTCGTATTGTTGGGAAGGCGGGTCAACTTTCATGTCCCATAAAAAAAACATTTCACATGAATGTTGGTCCGGTTGTTAGAAAAAGAAATTTTTTTGTAAATCTAAGTTTAAATTTTTGTAGAAAATATTTGAAAAAGATGTTTAGTTCGCGAAAAATTAAACTTTTTTTGAAAAACTGTATTCCTTCAAATTGTTTTACTTAATAGATTTTTTTGGAAAGACTATGGCATTGACAAAAAGAGTCTACGAAATTCTTTAAAATAATTCAAAATATTTAAATGTTAATATAATTTTTCTATTAAGTTTTTAGTTTGAATATTATTAAACATGAATATTTTTCATATTTTAAGAATAAATAGAAATATATTATTATTTGAATAAATAAATAATAAATATTAATACAATAAGTAATATTTTATTATTTTAATAATGAATATTATTTTATATAACAATATTATTATTTTAATAATAAAATTGTTAATAGCTTGAATATTTTTAATTATTTGTTAATTTTCTTAAATTTAAAATATAGAGTATTTTTAATATTTTAAAGATAAATATTTTTATATTACTATTTTAATAAAAGTATAAATAAATAATACTTTTTCACGATTTAATAATAAGTATTTTCAATACAAAAATATTACTGTTTTTAATATTTTAATAATTACTCGCTCTCGCCTGCAGCTTACCGATTTACTCGCTCGACAAAGCCTCGATGCTTTTGCAATTAAAGCGTTTGTTTGACTGTTTGATAAATAAAATTTGAAAAATGTTTTTCTCTTTTCTTGACTCTTCATGTCTTTAAAAGGAAAATTTTATGAACAGAGACTAAAAAAAAAAGTTTATTCTTAAATTTGACATTATACATTATTATTATTTAATATCTTTTATTTTATTTTCTTATTTTCGAGCCCGTTGTTTTTCATATTATAAGCATTGCCCTTCTCTTAAATTATAAATATATATATTAATAACAATTTAATATCAATTTTAAAATATCTTAAAATTTTATTATTAATAAATAAAATATATTCTTACCAAAAAGGAGTACAAAAGTAGTAAAATACTAATTTTCAAATATTAATTTCTAAAAATATATATTGTACTGATATCTACAACGTATATCTTAAAAAGAGTACAAAAAAATGGTTAAATCAAATGCATAAAAATGTTTTTTTTTAATATAAAATACGTAAAAGATGCGCTAAATAATTGGAATTAGAAAATTGGAAAAAAGAAATAATGACATATAATATGTAAAAAATTCAAATTTTAGAAAAAAAAAAACTTAATATCCCATATTCTAACATTTTTGGGTACATTAAAAATAAGTTACTTGAGAAAGTAAGAAGGAAAAAAACTATTATAAAAGACAAAAAAAAAAAAGAAATAATCCTTATCTGGAAGGCATGAGGCTAGGGATAACCCCGAAGACAGCAGCCTTACCTTGACACAATAGAACTCCGTTACTAAGTGCTGTCAGCAAGTAATAACTGGCTTTGGCTTTGGCTATGGTTTTTCTCTTTCTTTTTTCTTACATAAAAAACAACAGTATTGTTTTTTATATGGTCTGAAATCCAATGGCTGTCTCTCCCAACATAAGAATCGGAATCCCAATCCCCCGCACTTCTTCCACCCACCGTCTTCCCATGTCCACTCTCTCATACCCTTTCTTCTTCTACTACTCTTTCCCTCCACGCGCCCTCCGTTTTCACTCTCCCTCCACGCGCCTCCGTCCCCTCTCTATCCGCCCCAAGGCCTCTGTCGAACCCCACTCCGCTCCAGGTCTCTCTCTTTCTCTTTTTCACTATTTTATATTTTGTTTGCATTTTAATATGAATTTTAATGAGCCAAGGCCTCATTGGCTCAAATTTAATTATCATTTCACTTTTTACTCTTTGCTTTTACCTTTTAGTAATTTTTAAGAAAGCAAAAAGCAATTAGTGGGACTAACAATCAAGCGGAACTTAAGTTCAGAACAAGTGTAATTTGTGACTGGCATGGGTTAAGTCGTTTTAACCTCTTACTTTGAGCTAGATTAGAGGCAGGTTCAGGGCTATGTTTGTCTTGGTGTTTGTAGCCAAATGACTTTTGAAGGCATTGAGTAACGATTTCGTCTTTCACCTTGCAGCTAAATCAGTGGAGAATGTGGTGATCATAGGTTCAGGTCCTGCTGGATATACGGCAGCAATATATGCAGCTCGTGCCAATTTGAAGCCTGTAGTGTTTGAGGGATATCAAGTAGGTGGTGTTTCTGGTGGCCAGTTGATGACTACCACTGAAGTGGAGAACTTCCCTGGTTTTCCTGATGGAATAACTGGTCCAGATTTGATGGATAGGTAGTTAAAAGAAGGATGAAAGCTTGTCTTCTGTTATTTTTATGGACAACTACATTTTCAACTAAAATAATTACACAATAGAATCTTGATCTTGTTTTGACTAGGATGCGACGACAAGCTGAGCGTTGGGGAGCAGAATTGTTCCAAGAAGATGTGGAACACATTGATGTTAAAACCAGTCCTTTTACAATACGGAGTACTGAACGTGAGGTGTTGTAATAATTTTTTTGGCTACTCCATTGTTATGTTGAAGTGGTTAAAATTATTAGAATAGTGAATTATCTTAACATATTTCAAAATAGATGCTTTGACTTGAATTGCGTCATTATGCCAAATAATGACCCCTTGTAAGACTCAAATAATTAATTTTCTGGCTGAATTTAATGCTGGTCGATGTGATACCAGCTTTTTCCTTTGGAACACCATATGAGTAGAAAACTTTTCTTGCTTGTTATGGTGCCCATGTGAGTCAGTTATTCAATGACGTGATTCTACTTTCTCCAAAAAGAGGGTTATGTTTCGTGTTTTTTTACCTTTTACTTTGTTACTATGTTGAATTTTTAGGGGCTCTGTATTTATTGGCCCTTGAATAAACTTTTTGTGGTGCTTATTCTTGATTCAAATTTGTTCCTTACATTTGTATTTCAGGTTAAGTGTCATAGTGTAATTTTTGCTACGGGAGCTACGGCAAAAAGGCTCAGGTTACCCCGTGAAGATGAATTTTGGAGTAGGGGAATTAGTGCTTGTGCAATTTGTGATGGTGCATCGCCATTGTTTAAAGGACAAGTACTTGCTGTGGTTGGAGGAGGTGATACAGCTACTGAGGAAGCATTATACTTAACCAAATATGCTCAGCATGTTCACTTGCTTGTTCGTAAGGACCAATTAAGAGCATCAAAGGCAATGCAAGATAGGTGAGTTTGACAAACTCGTATTTTGTTTAAAATTTTATGGCCAATATTTTACACTATGCTTTAATAATTCAAATTGCTTGCATGTATATGTAATGTTTATGGAAGGCAGTAATATCTGCTTGTGAGATATCTTTTCAAAAGTTCTGGAAGCTTGTACTTAACCTTTTTCCTTTCATTCTATATCTTACATGGTGTTATTGAATCTTTTATACTTCTAGGTTTTCTCTTTTGTTCGGATTTTTATTACTTCATATCAACCCATATGTTGTGCATTTGCTTGCATAAGTTGTATATGTTAGAGGATGTGCAAATCATGATCTTCACTCAGTTTAGTTAATCCTCTTATAGGAGGTTTCTGCAGTTTTAACTTTTATCAGTACACTTTTGCTTGGTCTAGAATATGTCATGCAATTTATTGAACTATTCCATCATATTTTTTGTGAAATTTTCATTTTATACTATTTGAAATTTATCAAGTGAATTATCTGAATGCTTAAGGCTTTGCTTTAATGGAACTTGTGGTGACTGTCTGCATTTTATATCACCTTCTGTTCTTTCATTTAAATTTAATTTACGTCAGTTGCATAGTGCTAGCTGAAATTTCTCATGATGATTCTAATTACTATCATGATTGTGGTGCATTGTGTACTAATGAACAATTTGTATGTCAAGTTTTCAACTCCCTGAATGTTTGTTTAACAGGTTACTTATCGCGAATGTTTCAGAGTTTACAACAATCCAAATATCACCTTGCACTTCAATACAGAGACTGTGGACGTTGTTAGCAATACAAAAGGTCAAATGTCGGGCATATTAACCAGAAGAGTTGATACAGGGGAGGAATCTGTGCTTGAGGCAAAGGGCTTGTTTTATGGTATAGGACATTCACCAAATAGTGAGCTGTTGCAAGGTCAAGTCAAACTTGACAGCTCAGGATATGTGCTAGTTGAGGAGGGCACTGCTAAAACTTCTGTTGAAGGTGTATTTGGAGCGGGAGATGTGCAGGTAATCTCCCTCTATCTCGTATTAGTTTGGGAACAGTCAGCAAACATTGCATTTCCTAAATTCCTTGAGATCTGTGTGTCAGCACCAGAATTCATGGCATGGTCTCATTAGCCTTTCAAAAATTAATCAGTCAATATAAACACTTGTGTTTGGAATTATTCATAATACTATGGTACGAGCATCTAAAGAATCTAATCATTGCTCTAGCATCAGTTAAAATAGTTACATGAAAGGAAACATTAGAACAAGGAAAGTGATAATGGAATATATCAACTTCAGCTGTTTAAAAAGCTAGTGTATGCTCTCATATGCTGATTTTGGGTTGTTGGTGGGCAAGAGTGACCAATTATAATAGTGAGAGAATGAATATTTGCCATCTTGTTCATCACCATTTGAGGAGAGTCAAACCAGTTATGAACTCAATGAGTCAAATTTTAGGTATACATTTCTCTCTTCTAATCCTGCACCAGAGGATTATAGTGTAGTATAGTGTGTTATATTTGGTAAACCTTATGATCACTTGGCTATTGAGTGGGATTTTTTGCAGAAATGCCAATTTGAACAAGTGTCAAGCTAATCTAGTAGTCAAAATGATAAAATTAAATTGAGATATTGGCTCCCATGGATTGGAACAACTCTTTGATTACGGATTTGTGAAAGTAATAGTAACATAAAGTTCTAATTTTTATAATAAAGAAATTGTGAGTAATTTGGATTTGATCATAGTCAAATACCATCAAGTTGGGTGAATATTTATAGTATAAAGTTATGTCAAAAGATTCCTCATACCAAAATATTAGTTTTGGCCAAAAGGTTTGTTGCACTTAAAATTTCTTCCAGAATTCAGATAATTGGTATCATTGCTTAATCATGTCATCTATAGGAATCGTGTTAAGGTCCTTTTATCTTTCTTGGTGTATATGATTTCTGGAATGTGCCTCTTTCTGTCATGTATGTCAGATTATAATAGTATTACGGTTGGAAAAAAGAATTTTTAGGTGTAGGATGGAGCTTCTGTTATATTTGTTGTTGGAACCATAATTTGTAATCTATGTTTTCTGTTAGTTAGGATAAATGACGGGCATGGGCATTTGTCCAACATGAGCATGTATAAATTTTCCTAAGTTTTCCCCTAATTTGGAGTCATCCTGCCATACACATATTCGACACCATACTCACTTTGAGGTGTCAAATATTTGCACGGAACATGTTGAAAACGTAAGTGTCAAAGAAACATAGATTTAAGCATTTAAGATGACATCTTTTCTTTTGACAGTGTCTAAATATGAAAATGAGAATTAGTCAGTTCTTTAATGCGTAGGTGCATCTTCTTGTTACATGAAAAAACAATGGTTCTTGACTTGTCGCATAAATTCAAACCATCATATGACTTCACATCTTTGGAAAAGTCTGTATTATAATGAATTTATCTTGTAACTCCATTGGTCATTTCATTTAACAGGACCATGAGTGGAGACAAGCCATAACTGCTGCTGGATCTGGATGCATTGCAGCTTTATCCGTTGAACGATATCTAGTTAGAAATGATATCCTTGTTGAGTTTCATCAGGTATTTGTCTTTCTAACAAATGCCAACTCTGGCCATTATTTGGTGATTTACCTTGTGTCTAAGTTGTTTATTTACTAAGCTCCTTTCGAATTCACACATGCTTTTATTAATCTTCTTCATGAACTTTCATATTACAGCCTCAAACTGAAGAGGTTAAGAAGGAACTGGCAGATAGAGATGTTCAAGCAGGTTTTGACATTACACTCACAAAACATAAGGGCCAGGTTTGTATCTAATTGTCTTATATAAATTTTTTAAGGTTGATGTACAAAATCTTCCTGCTTTTGGTTTTCCAAATAGTCTTACCTCTAAACCTGTGTTTCTTTTATCTATTCCAGTATGCTCTACGGAAGTTGTACCATGAGAGTCCGAGGCTTATATGTGTGTTGTATACTGCACCAACTTGTGGTCCATGTCGAACTTTGAAGCCAATTCTTAGCAAGGTATGTTAGTGTTAATTGTTTCAATGCTGCATGCTACTTAGCTTCCAGAGTCCAATTAATATGACTTGGTTGGTCTTCGACTGTGATTTGGATATGGCTTTATATGTTTCAGGCTTCTGGGTTACATAGAATAGACCACTAAGCTTGTGTAAATATCCAAACAAGGTTTCTATATTGTATTTACTATTATATTAAACGCCTTCTTGTGCTTATCTCTTGCTAAATTTTTCTATTTACAGGTGATCGATGAATTTGATCAGAACGTACATTTTGTTGAAATTGATATCGAGGAAGATCCAGAAATTGCTGAAGCTGCTGGAATCATGGGCACCCCATGCGTGCAGTTTTTCAAAAATAAAGAGATGCTCAGGTTGGCTAATCTTGTTCTTATTTCTGTTCTTCTATCTTTTCACATATGTGCAAAATGAACTTGTTTTATATAGTTCATTGGTGATATGGCATGTCGCAAAAGACATGCATGACAGATAAAAAGTTACAGTGTCCAAGGTTGTTAGTTGTTGCCTGCCACCAACCCTTTTATGCTGGTTATGCAGGACTGTATCAGGGGTCAAAATGAAGGGAGAGTACAGAGAAGTCATTGAAGCGAATAAATGAGAGTATTATGGTGCATTCTTTGGCTATCATCATTTGTGATTCAGTTTTGTTCCTTCTGAAAAGTTAGTTGAACAGTGCCTTCAATTTAGAAACTGCTAATAAAGTGGCAAGTGCTGCCTATATATTCTATTTTTTCAAAAAATATATATTATTATTTATTTAATTTTATATTTATATACATATATATTATATTAATAAATTTATTATTTAATATCTTAATTTAAGAGATTAACTTAATAAATATATTATATTTATATATAATTAAGATATAATTTATATTAAAAAATAATATTTTTATAAATATTATAATAAATTAAAATCGTTGAATTAATTTTAAATTGAATTAAATCAGATATAGATTATACATGTGTCGAATCTAGAGGCTACCTCCTTTAAAATTTTTTCCTTTCATTTATAAAAATAAATATTTTATATCCATCCATATTATTGTAGGTTTTATATAGAATTTTTATACTATTATTATTATTATTATTATTTTCAATTAAGGTATGATTGATGTATTTAATTTACATATCACAGTGCAAATTGTTCTATCGTACTAATATGTTTTTATTTTTTTCAATTAAGGTGCAATATGATCAGATATGGATATGCAACCATGAGCACCAATAAATATCTAATTGCCTAAAGAGATGATTAACTGTATGAACAAATTGAAACTGGAGGGCTTTGACATTACAAAGGGATGAATGCTAAATTGTCAATACAAACAAATCACTCTGAGGCCACTTGACTACCTGAATCATTGCTGACAGGTTCAATCTTTGCCACTTTCCTCTTGCGGCCAACATCTGAAGTCAACCTGAGAAGCAATGAAAGTATCAGTCACATGATGATATTGTAATGAGCAAGAAATGGATAAATGTTCAAAGAAAATGTGAATGACAATTTCTAGCATACCCCAAGTGCAGGGAAGTGTCTGAGTGATCATTGTCACCGTTGTCATCATCCTCATCCTCTGAATCACAACTATAATCAGGCTTTGAACTAGTGGGGGAAAATCTTATTTGCAGCGGATTGAATTCAAGCAAATTTGAGCTTTTGTTTTGTCTCAGTTCCTCAACCTTAGTGGAGCAAATACATAATTAGGGAAAATATAATATTACAAATTTGAAAACCTTAATATCAAACTGCCTTTTTAATACATATGACAGTTGATTCTATGGTCTACCTGTTTACGTAGAGTCTCATTCTCCAGAATAGCCTTCTGCTCCTGAAAATAAAATATTAAACCAGAGAAGAGAGTGTCAATTACAATTATTTAATTGCTAAACATATGATCCTTTGTCCTCGCATAAGAGCAGGTTTTTAAAGTTTTAATTGCTTTTTCTGCAGTCATTCGCCTTTTGTCAAAAGTCCCAAACTCCTAAATGAAATTACAATTTACCTGTAGTCTGGATCTTTTAAGCTGCTCCAGTAGAATTTGCTCCTGCAAAAGTAAATCCTCAGTTTAAGGGCTTTGAGCATAGCTTTACAGATTACAATTTAGGCTATGTTTAAGATAAAGTAATAGCCCACAATCAGGCTCTGAATTGAGCACAAGATATGAGATAAATATTAGTAGTATTTATTTGTATGAAATGGATTTAAATTTCTGTTTGTACGATAGAGTTATCAAAAATACTCTTACGAGTCAATATATGTATATATGTATGTATGTATGTATGTATAGCATTTCTGACCAAATATTGAATCATCAAGAACAATAAGCATGATGTGTTGGCTGCTGACGGAGGAAAAAATTAACCAAACAAGCAGTTCATGTCCAAGCATTAAAGATGAGGAGAAAATTGTCTACAATATTTATGAAAAAAATAAATATAGCGCAACTTATAATTTGAAGTTGCCAGTGATTGGCAGCATTTAAAGGGAAAAAGAGTGCAGTAAGATGGAATATTAATATTGTTCAGTACCTTTTGTTCCTTAACTGATAACATCCCTTCATTTAACTGATGCTCCAGCTGTTGCAGTTCTTTGAAACTCAGACCGTCCAGCTCCTTACCATTAAGTCGCCTGCAAATCAGAGCTGATATTAGATAATGGAATATTGATGTACATGCTCTAGATTCATGCATTTTCAACTTATTGTATGGCAACTGAATTACTCAAGAGAAACAAATTTTCCTTCATTAACATTTCCCTTGAGAACATAAAAAGGAAGAAAATGTGATATTCCTGTCATCAATATCATTCTAATTCCTTGTCATTTTAAACTAAAAAAAATAATTAATGGGACATCATTTTCATATCTGCTACTACAAGGTTATCTTTGGAATATTTCCTTCTCTTTCACCACCATTCCCATGGTTATATAATTGGCAAATAATAGAATGGAAATGACTTACATGTATGCCGCACGTAGCCTTAAGTACTCCTCTTTCAGGGTGTTCACATCAACTGGTTGCGAGCTCTGCTTATTTATCCAATGACAAAAACCCGAATCTAAATGTGATTATTATTCATAGCAAAAGGCATGTAAATTAAAAAAAATGTGTGGATGCAATGCAACATTTTAAGTCTTGTTCGTCTTCCAAAACTTTCATGAGAGCTACACTGTAAATGCAAAGAAAAATTGTAAGAATGTGGCATACCTCTGCCTTTCGTTCAACAGAAGGGGACTGATCCACTCCCATGCCTTTGTTGTATCTTAAAAGAGTGTGTTCCATGCTACATTGATACAATGAAATTTCATTAGGAAACAAAAACAAAAACAAAATCCAATTCATTTTGGGACTTTAAGTACATGTCTGGTCCAACAATATTTGGGCATTAGCCCATGAAAATTTAGGTCAAGTTAGCCTCAGCCTTTTTTTCTGGTAGCCGAAAAACAGACAAAAAAAAGTGGTTTTCCAATTTTTTCCATTTTTAGTGGTTTTCCAGTCCAAGGGTTTATCTTTTTTTTTTCTTTCTTTCTTTCTTCTCTCCAACTTTGTCTCCCATACAAAATACATTAGAAATCAGTTAAAAACCCTGTTTTCATTTGTTAAAAAATCATATAAAAATAAAAAAAATAGTTAAAACCTACAAGGTTTACGTACGTACCTGGTGCTAGACCATTGATAAACTTTGCCAGTGCTAGAGAAAATAATGACTCCAACCTCTGCATCACACAAAATAGACAACTCTCTAGCCTTCTTCAACAACCCATTACGTCGCTTTGAGAACGTTACTTGCCTGCTATTCAAGTTCTCAATCTTTTTTATCTCAATCTTCCCTCTACCCATCTCTTCTTCTTTCTTTTCCCTCAGGAAAAAAAACAACCCTAAATTTCTATCTTTTCTTTATTTGTTTTTCAAAGCAATGTTGATTAAAACACAGAAAAGAAAGCAGTGATGTTTATATAGAACAACGTTTGTTAAATGGAATTGGATTCCAAGGGACAAATAATGAAGGAAAGTGTATAAAGAGTAGAAAGGTGACAGATGGGATACTATATCTAGCAATTCTCCAAATATGGAACTCTAATTATTATAGGAGTCGCTGTGTTTGGCATTTTACTCAAAATGGATTTCATTGTTGTTTAGGTTTCTTTTGCTTTTTTTTTTTTTTTCATATTTTTCAATTTTTGATACTAGTAAAACGAAGATAGAATTTTTATTTTTTAATTTTTTATACATCTTACTAAAAAAATTTAAAATCTTTAATAATAATTAATATTAATTTGATGACATGCATGACAAGTTTATAATTCATTGATACTATATCTCTATTCATTTGATCATACCACACATACTTCTTTCCAAAAGTAGGTTGAGCATGTGAAATTTGCAGTTGCTTTTGAGATTTATTCAAAAAATAATTTTTTTAATTAAAATTTTAAATGGGTTTTGTTTAAATGCAAATGAAATAAAAAAAAAAAACTATATTGTTATTAATTTTCCTTTCATAAAAGCTGTTTCCAAACACATCCTTGCTAAATTTGTGGCAATAATTATGAATGAGAAGCTCCTATAGTTAGTAAATCTTGGAGGGCAAGGTCTCCCAATGGTTTTGGCTTTTGTTGGATAAGTATGGAATAAATATAGATATATGTGGAAATAGCGATATCCCCCAATAATTTTGTTTCCAACCATTCTTAGAATTTCTTAATTTCTCAATTTCTCCAAATTTAATAAGGCAATTATCCCACCTATTAATTGAGGTTCCATTCCAAGGTAAGTAGGAAATTAAGAAATCGTATCCCCATGATACTATTATTAGCTCTTATTCAAAATGACCATATTCACCCTAGAAAAATCCATTTGCATATATATATATATATATATATATATATATATATATATATATATATGCTACCCAAATTGTCCATTAATTTGAGTATCCAAATTAAATTTTCATATATTTTCTTTATATTACTCAAAAGGTAATTAAAAGAAAGATTTTGATAATGAGTGTCGGGCATTGGAATAACTAAGGGACTTTGATTGATTCTATGAGTTAGATCCTCTTGGTGTCTAATATTGTATACAGTTATGTGCGTGAAAAACCTTAATTTAGCATAGAATGATTTGATGATGCTAGTAAATTATCAGCAAATAGCATGCTTCTTGACTGTGCTCAAATCTGAACATCTCTGCATAAAATTACAGAAGAACACGTACGTTAGAACTCAAGTCAACTCTCAGGAGAGTCAATGTCAAATGATTTGAAGTCACCAGTCACTGCTAAAGAAGCAGTGCGTAGGCAATTCACTTAACAGTGTCCAAAAAATGATATATTAAAGGCAAAGTTTTCGAGGCATGATTTCAAATGGTTGAATATTGCAAGGCTCCATTGATGCTTTGACCCGAAGCAATACTGACTTGCTGACATTTTTAGAACGTCCAGAGCAAGTCAGCTATCAGCGTGAGAACATATATAGGAAATAATAGAATGTCAGCCGAGGCAGGCTGATCTTTGTATGTCAAACTGATTCACAGCTGATCATTGTTGCAAAACCCGGCCTGTTTTCTCATTACTCAGGAGCAGTTTTTTGACCTTAAGATATTTTTGGCCTGAATCCTGAACTTGCCTGACAACCTTTTTTCTCTTTGAGCTTAATGGTTCCTTCACGCTTTATAATATCATGACAGTACTGCTCACATTTAAAATTTTGGAACGAGCTCAAGGTTTGTCAGACTTTGGAAGTGCAAAATTAAATCCTCCTATCTGATTCATATCTTGTGTTCTATTTTGGTTGGATCACTAGGGAGAATTGTTTTGGCTTAGACCTTACATGGAAGAATTGAAGAATACCAAAAAGGACGTTTTATTCTGTTTTTACCAGTAATTGTTAGCTATTAAAATGGTCATTTTTTTTAAACTAATCACTTTTTTATTAACTAAATTGGAAATTTTTAGACCTTTAGGCTTGCCCTCCATTGTACCCGGATTAACTTTTGTTTGTTTCATACAATAATTTTCATGTGCAAATCTTGACATGGAAAATGACAATCCCTTGACAGAGACCATAGTTGGAGTAGGACCATTTGAGTTTCCCCTTTTTCCATGAGATCTGACAACCAAACAGATAAAGAATTGGATACCCACATCTTGAATCAAGATGGGGAGAGAGCAACCCTAAACAACAAATTTGGCTTACTATAACAGGGAAAGAGCCAAAAACTCCATGTTTGGCTACCTTGGAGTTTCAGCTTCAGGTCTTAGACCAAACTGATGCAAACCATGTGCCGTAAAAATCAAGGATTGCAGAAGAGTCAAATACAGGAAATGCAACGGAAGCAAACCACATGCACTAGTTAAAGAAATTTATAGTCAAAAACATAGCAGGTGTCACAAATGCTACCTTCCTGGCCTAAATATCAGACAAGATGATTTGCAATGCCAATTGATACCATGAGAGGAAGGACATAAAAGTTGGCAGAAGAAATAAGAGAGTAACCCATTATTTAATGGATGAAATCTGAACAAGTATCAGCAATTTATAACAAGGAGTAAATTCCCTGAAACCAAAGCCTTAAAAGCAAACACATAGTTGCCAAGCTGTAAATATTTTAGTCAATATATACAAATAATTGGTATAAAATTTCATTAGGCTAAACAATATGAAGTACGAAAGTTTTACAGAATATGAAAGAGAGGTTGCAACTCATGAATGGCCGATTAGCGTTTACCAAAATGAAGTTTATTTGTCATGGTTTGTGGTGCCAGCTGTACAAAACAGACAAGTAGAAGAAGGGGTAATCTCTACAAACGAAGGTTTACAAATTATGATCAAATAAATCAAATAATAATGAAGTGTAAAGAATAAGTAATAATCACATTTCAATTATGTTACATAATGAGAATTACTGTGAATGGAGATAAGATTGTCCGTGGATTCTAGTGATATAGTCATAAGCACGAACCAGCCGCTTCTGAAATCTTCTCAGGTCTAATTTTACAGTTTGCCCTTCAAGATAGACCTTCTTAGTGTATTCCCAACCTTTTTCAGTTATACTCGAAGGATTTCTTAGAACAGGATCATCTTTATCATATTCATCAAACAATGAGCTCTCTCTAGTCGTGATTTTGTAGCCAATATATTTCAAACCAAGCTTCCTTGCGGGCTCCCCATAGTATGTCTCAGCTGCCCAGTCTGTTCCTAGGGGAATAACTTGAACAAAAACAGAGCCAGGTTTCATGAACAGAAAATGAGTCATAGCAGCACCATGGACGCCAATCATGACATCACTTGAATTAAGTGTCCTATAAATCTTTGCTAATTCTGTTGTTCGTTCAGGCCTCAGAACATGAACCTGGAACCCAATTTTCTCAGCTGCTTTCACCAAAATGTTCTCATTAGTTATAGCTCTAGAACCATTTCGAGACAAGATAACCAATTTTGGTCTACTTGCTTGGTGTTTCACCTTTTTTCCAATATCTAATGCAGACCCTGATGTTGGACGTAAGGAGATTTTCTTCTCTTGTGCTTCTCGTTCCTCAACCCGAATCAAACCTCTAATTCTAGGCCAGTAAGCTCTATCAAGAAGATTCCGAAAATCGACGATACTCTTATTGCTTCTCATCAATGAAGAGTCCAAAGTGAGCTCATCATGGATCCTCAGACCAACAATTGCCTCAGTGAAGCAATGGGTTCGATGGTCTCCACTAAAGTCTATTGTTGGATAATCCGAGAGACGTGAAAGGATGTCACCATACTTCATAACCCACCAATTATGATATTCAAGAATGACAAACACAACCTTCTTGTTAAAATGCTGTGAAGTGATGTATAAAGGTATGAACCCATCATTAAACTCATGATAAACGTTGCCGGTATAGCCTCCAGTTGAGAAGATAACAGCTGGAACATTATGAATCACATCACAAGGATGGCGAACACCCGAATTCTCTCTCTTTAAGATAAGGTCCAATTCATGAACGGTGTCCATCACACTTGTTTCCCATTTTCGGGTATAAGGTTTGATCTTTTCATGTTGAAGTTCATCATCTTCTTCTTCTTCTCCATCATCAACCATCCTTGAAACATAATTGATGAAACCGTTGCTGCTTTTTGGTGAATAAAGGAATACTGAAGACGAGGAAGAGTGTGTTCTTATGTCACCCTTCATAAAACAAATATCAGAACGAAAATGGCTTCTGTCACAGCAAATTGTACCTGTATGTATTTAGCCCAAGAAGAACCATCAGATTCAACTAAACGGTTGGGGACATTGGAAATGTATATGATTCAATTAAAAATAAATCAAATAATAACATACACTCCTATAGTTCAATCTTGTATTTCAAGCAAGGCTGGAAGACATACTACTAACCATTAGAGATTGAAGAGCAAAGAGGAGTATTTACATCCCTATCACCGGGAAGGCCTTCATTTTGCACACCAAATGAATCTACAAAAGAAACATATATGAGAACTCAAAACGCAGAAACGGAGACAAAAACAGAGGAAAGTGAGCAAAAACCAGGGAAGAGAAGAGCTTACAGAGATGAGATAAAGCAAAATAAGAACTAAAGAAGTGAGGAGCCAATAAGAAGCTACAAGAGAGAAGAGAAAGCATGAGGAACGAGAAAAGTTTAGGCCTCCTTCTCCTGCAGTAACCAGGGTTTGTCCAAACAAGAACAATGGTCCCTGCTTCTTCATCTCCACCCTTTTTCAACTGATTATAACGCTGATAGCGCACCATTCCTTATGTTCAAAGCCCAATTCTTTTTCCTTTTTTTGGCTTTCAATGCTCCTGTTTGATCAGCTTTTAAGTGCACTACTCAAGCCAACAACAAAAGAGAGAGAAAGGAGCTTGCTTTCTAGGCTAAGTACGGTTGGCTGGTTGAGAACTAAAACCCCAGTTTCAAGAAAGAAACAAACACAACGTTTTTAAAAGAGAGAGAAGCACTTGTGCATATGTCTGAGTTTCTCAGCTTTGGGGAAGCTCTCTTTTGGTTTTTTTTTTTTTTTTTCCTTTTTGAGAGTGAGATAATAAAAGAAAAGAAAGTTGTAATGGAAAGATGGCAGAAAAAGAGAGATATTTATATGAGCTGCCCTGTTACAATTTAAGCAAGCTTTTGTCGACTGCAGCCTTGCTTAAGTAGAAGAAGAAGAAGAAGGAGAAGAAGGGAGTTTCTGGGGTTGTTTTTCTTCTTTTCTTTAATAATTTTAAAAACGAAAGGACAAAAGGAAAAAAACCTGTCAAAGTAGGCTAAATCAATTCAGCGGGTTTGAAGTGGAGGGCTGTACTTTTTGGGTTTTGGGAAGTCAAATCAGAATTGCGTGTAGATTGTACAATCTACCAACTATTAATGTTTGTGATTTGTGAACTGAGAAAGACTTGCTTGGTCTCGTTCTCTGTTGGCTCAAATATCTAACTTTTTTTTCATATATACATATACAACTATTTTAATTTTTAACATCATTAAATAATATTAATATAATATTTAAATATTAACATAAATACCATGTGATTATCATATAATTTAAGATTCGATTGTTATGTATTATTTAAAAATGTTTTTTAAAATATTTTTTAAAATTATTTTATTTTTAAAAATAATATATAATAATCATATTTTAAATCATATAATAATCATTTATTATTCATTTTGATTTTTAAATACAACATTAACATTATTCTACCCATATTAAAAAATTAAAATAATTTAATACATGAAAATAAAATTAAAATATCTAATTAAAATTTTTTTGTTTAAATATCATATTAAAAAAATATAATAATTTAAGAACGAAATGAGTGTTTTTGTTTTTTTTTGACTGGGTTGTTTTTCAACGTTCAAAAACAGTGTTTGCCTTCAACATCGCGCGCCTGCCAAAGCTGCACAATTGTCAATTTTGTTTTTAAACAAAAGCCAGCAATTTAATAATTTCAGTAGTATTTAAATATTTTGTTTGTTAAATAAAAAACCGAAATTAACAGATTATATTGAGAGTGAAATCTGAACGTATAAAGATGCCATTTTTGGTTAGCTAAAACTAAAACTATAATTGGTCACAATTTATAGAATTATAAATTCATTTTTGGATATGGATGACATTCCAACCATATTATGCTTAGGAATCGAACCATATTGTTCAGTACAACTCTAATTCGTTTATTTTGAAGTATAAAATTAATCTAAACCAAGTCAAATTAATTGAACTCATTATTGTTTTATATACATTCAAATTCATTAATGTTTTGGAAGTCAAACTAATAATAATGGCTGTTTACATTTTTATTTGAAAAAGAAAAATTCAATTTTAGTTCTTTGAATTAAGAACATATACATTTAACATTAAATCACATGTTCGGTTATATAATTTATCAATATTTAAAAGTTAAATCAAATTTGCTCAATAATTACGTATTTCGTTGATAAAATATTAAATTTTTAGTTTCAATAATTAAAGTTTAAATTTTAACTGTTATAAATATAAAAAAATTAAGTGAAACTTTTTAAACAGGAAATATATATATTTAATAAATTTCTACATATTCAAAAAACAATTAAAAATAATGGAGGAAGAACAAGCTATTTTCTTAGTATTTGGATTTTCTAATTTTTATTTAAATTTTACAATGCATCATTGGTTATATTAAAAATTGTTTAAGGGGAAAAAAAAACTTGCATTATTAGCCAATAACTACTGTTTTGCATTATTTTACTAATTAATCATATGGCTGGTGGCTGCCTATTTATTTTATTTTATTTTATTTTATTTATTTATTTGGTTCAAAAGATGGATAACCTATGATTCCTTTGGAGATGTAAGGATGTTAGACCAATGTTTTATCCCTGATCAAACAAAGGAAAAACTACAAGGTCAAGCACCCATTTGCTTCTAATTGTAAATTTTACTAATATTCATTTCTTTTTAATATATATGGCATGCATTTGAATTTAAAATTTAGTTCAATTTATTTATAATAATTATCTTTAATAATTGGATTTCAGCAACTTTGAGATTCAAATATCAATAATTATAATCCATTTCTTTATTCTCAAGTTATGATTTCTTGTAATTTATATCAATATATATTTATTTTTATATATTTATATTTATATGGTATGTGAAGAGTTTCATGTGGCTTTGCTAATTTATACATAATATTTTATAGTGAATTATTTATAAGCTCAAAATAATTACATGATGAAGGGGAAATTAAAAAATTAATAGTAGTATTATCAACCTAAGATAATTGAAAAAGCTTTTGAATGTATAGCATGCAGTCTGGTTTGCAAATATTTTAACAATAAATAATTAGCTTAACTGGTGGCTTACACATTTGGATATGGATTATCACAAGAGCTAGGGTTACCTTTTGATACTCTAGATTAGGCAGGTGATATCTGCAACTGATCACATTTTTCAAGCAAAGGAAAAAAAAATGCAAAACCAATAATCATTTTCTTATACAACTTGATGATTGAATAATTATAAGAATGTAATTCATTTTATTTTGATTGGCATGTGTAAATGTGCATGTGAATCCACTTATTCATTCATTGTAATGGTTGTATGCTTTTCTCTATTGGAAAAGGTAGCAAATTTACAATTAAAATGTTACCCACCATTTTTTGAATATTTATTAAAAAAAAAACTAAAAAATAATTTTAAATTAAATAATAATAATAATAATAATAATAATAATAATAATAATAATAATAATAATAATAAAGGTAATTATTTTAAAGTACTTGCTCTTTTTAGATTTTTTTTTGTTAGAGTATTATTGTGGGAGTAAATTGTTTATTTAAATAATTTTTATTTATGTATATTTTAATATATAATCCATATATATTACTTTATATATCTTTTAATATTTTTTATTTAAACTCACTAATTTCTCATTTTTTAGTTTTTTTTTTAGATTTTTATTATAAGGAAAAGAGAAAGTTTTTGAAAATCTCAAATCTATGGTTTCTTGTGGTGGTTTTAGATGGCATGTGGTTGTTGATTTTTTTTTTTTAGTTTTGATAATTTTTTGTTAATGTTTTTTATTTGCTCATTTTCTTTTTCTATAAATCTTTTCACAAAAATTTAAAATTGCTATTTGATTAGTTTATTTTTCGATGGATTTTTCGACTGAGTTTTATTTTTAGTGATTTTTTGGGTTGATTTTTATTTTTGTTGGATTTTTTCATCTTAATTTTTAAAATAATGATGGTTAGTGATAGGGGTTTTGAGATTAACATGTTCCCCGGTTAATATTTAGTTATTGAGATTAACTTCTTAGATAGTATTTATTTTTTTTATATAAAAAAGGTCGTAAGTTAAAAATAAAGAAAGTAATTGCTGAAACTGAGGATCAAAATTCAAATATATTAGATATCATTTTTTTAAAATAATTATATAAATTAATAATTTATCATAACTTTAGTCAATTTATTCCACTATAACTGTCTTTGGGAGTTTCAAAAGATATATACCACAAATGTTATTTTCAAATTAATTTCCACTTGCTATAATCTGGTTTTAGTCAATTGCCTAGCATTAATTTTCTACTTTGAAATGATTTTTGCCATTAAAAAATATGGACTCATATGTAACATCATGATTCTCGAAAATAATGTGTTTCTATTCTTAATTATATTAGCCAAGACGAGTTGATATATAGCACTAATATGGACTCATATATAATAAAATTTATTTATTGAATTCAGTTAATTCTTATTCATACTAGCTAATAAATTGGAATCAACCATAAAAATAAATTGCGAATTAAAAAATAAACTTGAAACAATGTTGATTGAATAACAAATAATTTACTTCACATGTAGAAAAAAAATCAGAAGAGAAGAGAAAAACAAAACTTAGAAAAAATTTTTTTTTTCTTTTTAATTTAACGCATCCAAAATTGATCGAGTTTTTTAATCATCTTGTTACTTTTAACTTCAAGCATTTGAAGTTGAAGCTTAAGAGAAAATGGAATAAATTTGAAGCGTCAAAAATCCAAAATTTAAATAAAGAAAAAGAAAGAGGGAGAGAACTCGGGTAAAGTTTTTAGGTTAAATTTGTGATATTTTTCGTTAAAACAATAGAATGAAATAAAATTTAAAAATCTAAATCAATAGATTGTTAAAATTCAATGAAAATTAATTAAAAAATAATATTTATACAAAATTTTAATTAAATTTAATTGAACAATGAAAATTTTGTCTGAATTTTTAATAAAAATATTTATTTAAATTATTTCAAATGTTGAATATTTGATTTATATAACAATTATATTTGTTAGTATATATATTTGAATTTTTAAATTTTTTTTCAATTTTTATATAAAAGAAATCATAATCTTAAAATAAAAATTAAAATTTTAAATTTAGATTTACTAGATATTATTTTTTAAAATAATTAAATCAAATGAGCTAAATTTTTAATCTTTTATTAAATTATTTTTAATAAAAAATCTCACGAGAGTTTTGATTGAGATAGAGGAAGATGATGATGATGATATTGACGGGTAAGTGAATTTGAATACATTTAAGTGTGGGTAGGACTCATTGTGGCATTTTGAAAACTTAACTGGTGGCTTACACATTTGAAAGTGGATTATCACAAGAGCTAAGGTTACCTTTTGATATTCTGGATTTGGCAGGTGATATCTGCAACTGATCACACATTTCAAGCAAAGGAAAAAAAAAAAAAACACAAAACCAATAATCATTTTCTTAGACAACTTGATGATTGAATAATTATAAGAATATAATTCATTTTATTTTGATTGGCATGTGTAAATGTGCATGTGAATTTACTTATTCATTCATTGTAATGGTTGTATGCTTTTCTCTATTGGAAAATGTAGCAAATTAACAATTAAAATGTTGCCTACCATATTTTTTAATATTTATAGAAAACTAATAATAATAATAATAGCAATAATGAAGGTAATTATTTTAAAGTACTTGCTCTTTTTAGAATTTTTTGTTAGTGTATTATTGCGGGAGTAAATTTTTTATTTAAATAATTTTTACTTTATGTATGTTTTAATATATACTCCATATATATTACTTAATGTATCTTTTAATATTTTTTATTTAAAACTCACTAATTTCATATTTTTTAGTTTTTTTTTTAGATTTTTATTATAAGGAAAAGAAAGAGTTTTTGAAAATCTCAAATCTATGGTTTCTTATGGTGGTTTTTAGATGGTATGTGGTTGTTGACATTTTTATTTTTTTTTAGTTTAGATAATTTTTTGTTAATGTTTTTTATCTTCTCATTTTCTTTTTCTATAAAATTTTTCACAAAAATTTAAAATTTCTATTTGATTAATTTATTTTTCTATGGATTTTTAGGCTAAATTTTGTCTTTAGTGATTTTTGGATTGATTTTTATTTTTGTTGGATTTCTTCATCTTCATTTTTAAAATAATGATGTTAGGGGTTTTTGAGATTAACTTGTTCGATGGTTAGTGTTTAGTTCTTGAGATTAACTTCTTTGATAGTATTTTTTTATATAAAAGATATTGTAATTTAAAAATAAAAAAAAGTAATTACAAGAATCAAGAATCAAAATCTAAATATATTAAATATCATACTTTAAAAGTGATTATATAAATTAATAATTTGTCATAACATCAGTCAATTTACTCCACTACAAATGTCTTTGAAAGTTTCAAAAGATATATACCACAAATGTTATTTTCAATTTAATTTCCACTTGCTATAGTATTAGTCAATTACCTAGCATTAATTTTCTACTTTGAAATGATTTTTTCCATAGAAAACATGGACTCATATGTAACATCATGATTCTCGAAAATAATGTGATTCTATCCTTAATTATATTAGCGAAGACTGAGTTGATATATAGCACTAACATGGACTCATATATAATAAAATTTATTTATTGAATTCAGTTAATTTTTATTCATACTAGCTAATAAATTGGAATCAACCATAAAAACAAATCGCCGATTAAAGAATAAACTTGAAACAATGTTGATTGAATAACAAATAATGTACTCCACATGTAGAAAAAAATCAGAAGAGAAGAGAAAAAAATCTTAGCAAATTTGTTCTTTTTTTTTTTTCTTTCAATTTTAACACATCCAAAATTGATCGAACTTTTTAATCATCTTGTTACTTTTAACTTCAAGCATTTAAAGTTGAAGCTTAAGAGAAAATGAAATAAATTTGGAGTATTAAAAATCCAAAATTTAAATAAAGGAAAAGAAGGAAGGAGAGTACTTGAGTAAAGTTTTTAGATCAAATTTGTGACATTCTTCATTAAAAACAATAAAATGAAATAAAATTTAAAAATTTAAATCAATAGATTGTTAAAATTCAATGAAATTTTAATTAAAAATAGTATTTATACAAATTTTTAATTAAATTTAATTGAACAATTAAAATTTTGTAGGAATTTTTAATAAAAATATTTATTTAAATTATTTCAAATGTTGAATATTTGATTTCTATAACAATTATATTTGTTATTATATTGATTTGAATTTTCAAAATTTTATTCAATTTTTATATAAAAAATAATAATCTTAAAATAAAAATATTTTAAAAAAAATTAAATCAAAGGAGTTAAATTTTTAATTTTTTATTAAATTATTTTTAATAAAAAATCTCACAAGAGTTTTAATTGAGATAGAGGAAGATGATGATGATGACATTGATAGGTATGTGAATTCGAATGTATTTAAGTGTGGGTAGCACTCAATGTCGCATTTTGAAAACTTAATGGTAAAATGATTTTAACAACCATCCAATGCTATTATGCCAAATTTTATTTAAAAAATTAGTATGCAAATTTGACAAATGTGCCACATTGAATTCTTTATAACAATTATATAAATAAACATCGTTGTTGTAAAATTTTGAAAGTTGTATCATATGATATCATGCAAAGAAAATTTTTATTTTTGAAATTAATTATCTGTGGATAGAATTAACTCACAATCAAGTGAATCAAAAGTCAGCTTTGGTTGAATTTTTATTAAAGAGCAAAGATAATGATGGGAGGGGGAATTCCATTAGGTATAGTGTGCAAATATATATATATATATATATATAAATGTATGTATGTATGTATGTATGTATGTATGTATGTATGTATTTATAAAAAATTATATAAAATAAAAAAATAAAATTTTTAATCATTGATTCAATATATTTAAAGGAGAAAATTAATTTTTTTAAATTTTTTACTTATATCACTTATCTCTTAGTTTATTGAAATTAATAGTTAAAAATATATATATTTTAATTTTATACTAAATAAGTTGTTTCATTCTCATATATAATTTTTTTAATTATGGATTGAAATTGAAATAATATCAGTTGCCAATTGGATTATCAAATTAATTCAGTTTGATTTATTAATTTGATTAAAGCAAAATTACGGACATGCCTAAAGTATTCTATTATTGACAAGCAAATAAGCTTACACTTAAATTCACAATTATGATTGAATCTGCGAAAGGTAAGGTAGTGAGGAATTAATTATTTTATGAAAAATACCCAAATAAGTCATTTCCAAATTATGTTACCTCAAACCAATGACGATCAATATATAATTAAATAAATTTATATAAAATTAAATCAAATTCACTTACGAAAACTTGAAACGTAAGATTTTATGTGCCTTTTGTTTTTAAATGGCTGATCTTACATCTTATCTGTTAGACTCAAGGCCAATTGAAAGGGTGGCATATTTTTAGTTTTAGCTTGCTTGTTTAGATTTGGTTGGCTTGCAAATCTTATTCAACTTTACCTCACTCTTTTTCAAATTCTTCGAGATTTTTTTTAATCAATGGCACATCTCAGCATATTTAACATATTGGAGGTTTTTTTTTTTTTTTTTGTTTTTACATGAGATTTTTTTTTTTTTTTTCATCTCGTCTTCTCTTTCTAATTTTTTTTAAAATTTTACTTGAGAATAACATTATATTATTAAACACTTTTTTTCATATCGTCTTCTCTTTCTAATTTTTTTTTTTAATTTTACTTGAGGATAACATTATATTATTAAACACTTTTATGATAAACAATACGAAACAAATAAATTCTTAAATTCTTAAATCAAAATAAAATATCTCATATCTCATGAAAATTATGTATCGTATATTAATAAAAAAGTACAAACAACATTCAAATCTAAAAGCATTGTTTTAATTAAGATGAACAAATTCATGAGCTGGACCAAGATTATTACTCAATATCAAACCCAAAAGCAATTACCAATGAGGTAGAGAAACTTATCAATTGAACAGCTTGTTATGCATTATTATTATTATTAAATAAGTTTGTAATTGAGCTGGTACACAAGAAAACAGGAGTGCCTCGGGGTAGGAGATTCAGAGGTTGGATCAGCAATAGAATGCAATAGTCTATAGAATTCGAACGTTTAGAGGAAACAGCAAATTTGCAGTGGCAGTGGCAGTGGCAGGACTGAAATCAAAGAAAAAAAAATAATTATATCCAAATTATCCATTTTCTACATCTTTCTTCCTAGGAGCAGGACCACCCGCAAACAAGGACAAAGTCACGTGCCTCCATTTCATGCAGAATTACCATTGCATGTACAAAGGCAAACCCCTTATTTTTTTTTATCTATCATTCTATAGTTGGCTTGTATCAATATTTAAAGATGATATTTTTCGTATAAACTTAGACCATATAAAATTAAAAATTATGATTTTCACATTCCGAGTTTACACATTTGAGGATAAACAAGTGATTTTTTGGTATCGGAGACCGATATAATATTTCATTAAAAATTTAATAATTATTTATAATATTTATTTTAAAAATTTAAATTAATATGTGATATTATTTACGTAAAAAAAGTATAGACTCGTTGCGCAATGTAGATGTGAATAAAGTGGAAATAAAACATGAAAAAAAATTAGGATTATGTTTTGGATAATTTGATATTATTTCAAAAACCATTCATCTAAAAGACTTAAATTGGTATGTAAGAATATAAAATATTTTTACTGATTAATAAATAACAACATATAAAAATTTTCCCATGGAATTCAATTCCTTTTTCAATTCTTAACTTTTGTTCTTGTATTTAAGTGTTTTCATTTTCTTTTCTTTTTTCCTTTGCATTTTGCTTCTTAAAGCAAAATGCAATAATTAAACTTATACCTAAATAGAATTCAAACAAATTAAATATGTGCATAATATTTAAGCCTAAGTACTAAAAAAAAATCATATAAAATGAATAAATATTCGATCTCTCTGGATATTTTTATTATCACGATAAATTTTTTTTAAATTTTTATAAAATTTAGGATAATTATTTTTTTAATAAGGATTCCAAACTAAACCAATTAAATTTATCATTGTACATCATTGAATCATCTTATATTTTTTGTATGCAATGATACCATTAAATTGAGATTTTCTATTTTTTTTCAAATAGGAGCAAAAGTGCAAAACGGAGTAACGGTGTTACTTCGGATTGAGCCCAAGTCCATAAAAGCCCAAGTACATAAAACGCCATCTGCATCGAGCGGTGGTCCGTGGACTTGACTTTGGATCGAAGGAAAGTTATGTACTTGCGGTGAAACGACCAGGCTGTAGAAACACCAGTAGCAATCAAAACTTGGCTGGGGCATTCAAGGGCCTTCCTTTCCCTCCCCCAAGTTGCTGCAATTTCTGCCAACAATCGAAGGTCTCAAACACTAACAACGCGATGTTCGGACCCAGAGGGTTAGTTCGTCAAAACCCTAATTTCAATTTTTTTCTTGGTTCTTGTTCTTGAATGGAATTAGGGTTTTCTCTTCTCTGATTTTGTATTGGGCATGAAAAAGTAACTAAAATAAATTGGAGATAATAATAGCAAAATATATACCCCAAATTGAATTTTGAACTGAATTTCTTCATTTTCTATATTCGGTGGCTTAGATTGCAATTTATTATTTTCAGTTTGTTTTATACTAAGAACTAATTTCAAGAGTAATATGAAAATGAATGACAAAAGTATGGAAACTTAAATTAATTTATAGCATGATTGCATTTGGTGTGAGATTGATTCTTCGTCTTTATGCTGGTAATGAGACTGTTTGAGTAATGTAAAGATAGAGCTCTGTTATTTATAAACCAAACTATTCGCAAGAATAACCAATGCCACATGGTTTGACTTTACCAAATGATTTATTTTATTTCATGTTTATTGTTTTAAGTAGGGTTCATGAATATATATAAATATAGGAATTTAAGAAATTAGGTGTTCGGGATGTGTGGGTTGGGTTTGGCTTTATTAACAGGTTTAGTGGGGGATTTTTGTTTTTTTTTTGGCTTTTTGGGTATGGATAATTGAAGGGCAATGTTGGGGAGCGGGGGGGTTTCGGACGGGTACGAGGTCGGCTCAAAGAGACAAAGAATGATGGAATCAAATCCCTACTTCGCAGTGAGCAGCGGTATGAGCGGCTATCAACCTTACAGTTATGGTGGTGGCTTCCAGCCACCTCCCTTTCCTGTGGTACGCCTCAGGGGTCTCCCTTTCAACTGCACTGATATTGATATTTTCAAATTCTTTGCTGGACTGGACATTGTGGACGTTTTGCTGGTCAACAAGAATGGAAGGTTCTCTGGAGAGGCCTTTGTTCTCTTTGCGGGGTCCATGCAGGTTGATTTTGCTTTGCAAAGAGATCGACAAAATATGGGACGCCGCTATGTGGAAGTATTCAGGTGCAAGAGGCAGGATTATTACCATGCTGTGGCTGCGGAGGTGAATTATGAAGGAATTTATGATAACGATTTCCATGGAAGTCCACCATCTCGAGGAAAGAGGTACAACGATAAGGATCAAATGGAATACACCGAGATACTGAAGATGCGTGGTCTTCCCTTCTCAGTAAAGAAACCTGAAATTGTTGAATTCTTTGGAGACTTCAAGATCATGGAAGACAGGATACACATTGCATGCCGCCCTGATGGGAAAGCTACTGGAGAGGCATATGTGGAGTTTGCTTCTGTGGAGGAGGCAAAAAGAGCAATGTCCAAGGACAAGATGACAATAGGTTCCCGGTATGTGGAGCTGTTTCCTTCAACACCAGATGAAGCTCGACGGGCTGAGTCAAGATCAAGGCAATAAAGAGGCAAAAACAGGATACACTTTGTATGTGTTGCCAGCCAGCAATGCATGTTCCCCCAGATTTTTAGGACAACCTGTATGTTGTCAATGTACTTTCTTCTCTTTTAAAATGTTTGAATTTTGGATTTAAGGATAAAAAAAATTCAGATACACAATCATGCCCTATTATTGTTATTATTATTATTATTATTATTATTATTATACGAGCAGCTGCTCAAAGGCAATTGCATAAGCAACTGCCCCTGGCATTCCAAAAAATAAAGATGCATAATCATTATATTATAGATCCCATGAACTGATATGGGTAGGTTGGCCCAACAAAATTTCATGATAGGTCCCTTGAACTCGGCCGTATTATATAATTTTTTTGCTTCACATCTTCGCGTTGTTCCCTTCTGTTCGGCTTGAGAAAAACACATTTTCTTGGAAACCCAGAAAAAAGAAAGGGGAGAGAAGAAGAAACAAACCAAACCCGAAAATAGAATCCAACAGATTAAACTATAATAAAGCAGAGTTTAACGTAACAAGCTTTTCTATTCACATCTTTGAATCAAGTTGAGAAAAGAAAAAAAGAAACAAGAAACGGTTAGCTGCGGCGGAAATGGGGGACGCGTTTTGTTCGGACTGCAAGAGGCAGACGGAGGTGGTTTTCGATCACTCGGCAGGCGACACTGTGTGTTCGGAGTGCGGGCTGGTATTAGAGTCACACTCGATCGATGAGACATCGGAGTGGAGAACCTTCGCCAACGAGTCGGGCGATAACGATCCCGTCCGTGTCGGTGGTCCCACCAACCCGCTTTTGGCAGATGGCGGTTTATCCACCGTTATCGCTAAGCCTAATGGTGCTTCCGGAGAGTTCCTCTCATCTTCTTTGGGTCGATGGCAGAATCGTGGGTCAAATCCGGATCGGGGGTTGATTCTCGCTTTTAAGACTATTGCTACTATGTCTGATAGGTATTTAAATTTTTTTTGTTGGTTTTTTATGGATTTTTTGGAATTAATTTTTGTTTGGTATTTTTGAGGTTGTGTGGATGGTTAGAAATTGTGGGAAAAGAATGGGAAACGGTTGTTAGGGTTATGGATTCTAGGTGAAATTATTTGAGCTTAATTTGATTGATATAAATGAGTTAGTTGAGTTTGGGATGTCCATTGTTTCTGAAGACACATTAATGGAAATGCCTTGGGATATTTTGAGGGATTTGAATTTGTTTCTGATGTTGCTTGACAGCTGGGAAAAGTAGATGCTTCAGTTATTGGTGAAAATAATTTGTGATGCTATTATCATTTACATGTCCACTTGTTTTTACTGGAGAAAATTGTGTCACAAAGTTTGAGGGCTGATAATAGGAAATTTAGGATTGATTGTCATTGTAAATTTGTGATTAACTGCAAAGTGTTATGCTTTTGAATTTTACTTTTCTTCGGCAGAATCAAACTGGTATTGAATTGTATGAACTAGATGAATATGCTGTTCTCTGTGGAATCCAGCTTAATCCGATCCAGCTGAATATTAAGATTGAATTTCTTAAGAACAATTGATGTTCTCCAATCTATGTGATTACTTTATGAACTGGTTCAATACTGGCTTTCGATTATTATTGTGTTCCGTTTAGGTGTAAAGATTTGCATATTTATGCTTTCCTTATTCCCATTCTCCGTGAAGTGAAGTTCTATGCTTGAGAGATGGTAATTTGCTATGAAATATCACTTATTTGGATAAGTTTGTGTTTCAGGTTGGGTCTTGTTGCAACCATCAAGGTATGCTACCCGTTTCAGTGTAAATATAATTTGAATCATATATGGTCTTTCAGTCCATTACTATGGACTTGCGACATGTACATATGCACATAGACTTGTTTTACTCTATTATTTTAGTATTTCATTGTATTTCATTTGTATTATTGATACTACTTGGTATTGCTACCATAGACCAAATAAAGGGTTTATTAAGTACCAGACAATATCATGTCAGCGACAATACTAAATTGAAACAAAGTTAAAAGTGAAGCTTGACAGGCTTTAGAAGAATGACTTGTTTGAAATAAAATGTCTTTAGTGTAAATGCTGACAAATTTGTGATAAATGAGCCAACTTGAAAGAAGGTATAAATATGAAACTCTGATCTTGTGCATGAGTTGAAAGCCTCGAATACATACAAACTTTACCATAACTGCTGCAGCTCCCTTTCCAAATCTGTACATGAGCAGAAAGGAATTATAAATTTAAAATTCCAATCTTCTGCATGAGTTGGGATACATATAAACATTACCATACCTGCTGCAGCTTCCTCTTAGAGTCCCAGTCTCTGCATGAATGAAAAGAAGTTATGAATTTAAAACCTCCAATACCTGTGCACGAGTAGAAAGAAGCTTCCCCTCCTCTTAGTCACCTTCTCATCAGGAAAAATAGGGTTAGGGTTGGTGGCTGTGCAAGAAAGCATCTTGTTTATTGCACAAAATTGTTGGTAAGTTTGATTGAAAATAGACTTCTGAGATGTGTCTAGCTCTGTATCTAATAAATAAGGAAAAGTTACTAGAAAATAATACACTATTGTTTGATTTATTTATTTATCATTTTACGTGTTATTTGACTATCTTTATAACTGATAATAAAGTAGTATTTCAGTTGTTTAATAACAAATAAGTTAACCAAAAAATGTACCAGCTACCAATAAAACTTGAATGAAGTATTAAGTAACCAAAGAAAGTTGCTACTGCATAGAAGGCCAGAATACAATGCTCTATAAACTTTGAAATATTTTGAGTAACAAGTAGGAGAGAGGGAGAGAGAGGCATCCTTCTGATAGTTTCTTTGCTATGCCTTTTTATAAGTGACTTGAGCAATGAGCATTTAACACTTAGAAATGGATGAACATCCAATTCTCATTTTAACTTGTCCATTATTCACAATTTGTTGTATGTAAAGCTTAAAAAAAGGAAAATAATCTGTTAAAAATGAACTGTGCCAGGAATAATTCTTAGCAGTGGCTGTGAATTGGAATTTCACTTTTCCCTCACTTTTAAAAGCTTTTCTTCTTTAATTTTGGAAGGATCTTTTATTTTTTTAATATTTAAAACTAGGTGCTTTTTCAGTTATAATTAATTTTCTTCATCTGGCCACTGAAATTTTATTGGAATCGCTACCCCTAGTAATTTACTTCTCAGTGATTATCTTCTAATGATCACTATATAATTTTGAGCATGTTTATGCTTCCAAAAGAAAATTATTTTATATTTGAAGTATTTTTTTAAGCTAGATTGAGAGTTTTCCTATCCATGGAAGGAGCATCTTATGCTTTACACTTTAAATTTCAGCTTGATGACCTTTTCATTCTTTATTAGTTGTTGCTTTTATCAATTATCATGTGTATGTGATTTATGGGGATTTTGCAATTGATTGAAGGATCGAGCCAATGAGATATATAAGAAGGTAGAAGACCAGAAGTCTAGTAGGGGAAGAAATCAGGACGCATTGTTGGCTGCTTGCTTATACATTGCTTGTCGACAAGAGGACAAGCCACGCACTGTCAAGGGTACAGCCTAAGATTCTTTTTAACATCTGGATGCTTTGTGATTTATCTTTCCTAATGTCTATGAGCTTCCTTGAACCTTTGGATTTCAAATAGAAATTTGCTCCGTCGCCAATGGAGCCACAAAGAAAGAAATTGGCCGAGCAAAAGAGTATATAGTGAAACAACTGGGATTGGAGACTGGTCAGTCTGTGGAGATGGGAACCATACATGCTGGTGACTTCATGGTGAGTTGCCTTTTGTTTTTTCTCTTAAAGAAAATCTATAGCAGTCCTTTCAGTTAACAACTGTGTTGTTGTTTGCTGAATGCTTGGAAGGTTGCATTTCCTCTGTTGAATATCGTATTGCTCATTTATGCTTACCATTTATGGTTGCCACTGACACTAATTTCTTTAATTATCAGAGGCGTTTTTGTTCCAATCTTGGTATGAATAATCAAGCAGTTAAAGCTGCCCAAGAAGCAGTTCAGAAGTCGGAGGAGTTTGATATAAGGTAGTTATTATTCTATTTTCATCATGATGCTGTGAGCCTAAACTGAAATTTCTTTTTAAGCCCTTAACCTTTCAAACAAATTTTAATTTAATGTCCTCTATGACGTAGATAATTCTGTATGGACCTCTGCTGTTAACGGAATGCATGATCAGGATGTGGGGATTTTAAGTTGATCAACTGACATGATTAGGAAATAATTAGAATGTTAGAAGAATGATATTAAGAAAAAGAAGCTAAAATCGAGTACCCAGAAATTTGTTCTGGGTACTTTTCTCCAACCTTCTCCTCTCTTTATTGAATACCCCCCATCCCTCCCCTGACTTACCTCTTTCGTTTTCTCCGGTTCTTTCCACCCTCATTTGGTTTTTGGACCAGTTTGTAGAAGGAAGAAAGATGAAGTTGCTAACTTTATCTTAGGGAGTTCTGCCATTTAGCTCTTGTAGATTTGTTACCGAGTTTGCTATTTAAGAGTCAGGATTGTTGCATTGAGACATCTGATATTTCTTATGTATTATTATATATCTTCTTTAATGGTTTTGTTCACTTGTAGTTTGTATATGTATTTGCTTAACAATTTGCATAACTTTTGCAGGCGAAGTCCAATATCAATTGCAGCAGCAGTGATTTATATTATAACACAGCTTTCGGATGATAAGAAGCCTCTTAGAGGTTTGATTTCCCATCTTACTTGTTAAGCAAAAATAAGATATTTTACGAACCTTTTTTATGTGCCTATTTTCTTCTTGAAACAGTGCTGATTATTGCAGTTTAGGTTCTAATATTGAATTAACTAACATGGGTGCTTATGGAATGTGTTTGTCCTTTAAAAATAAGAAAGCAAAAACAGCGTCTTCAAATTTTTTTGAGCTGCTATTATCATTCTTTGAAAAATGAACACGTACGTTATTGATCGAAAATGTGTGGGATGCTACAGATATTTCACTTGCTACTGGAGTTGCAGAAGGGACAATCAGAAATTCATACAAGGATCTTTATCCCCATGTGTCAAAGATAATGCCAAACTGGTATGCCAAGGAAGAAGATCTCAAGAACCTATCCAGTCCTTGAAGTGCAGAACAAACAACAATAGGTATACAAGAACCCAAAAAAAAAAAAAAAACCCTCAAAATTGGCTTTCTTTCTTTCTCTTGGATGTTCTGACTATTATGTTTTTTCTTTTTCATTTTTCCTTCATTACTCCACCCTTACAAGTAGAGAGGAAATGTGGACATCCACGGTATTTACTGATCAATTTTAATTTATGTATGAAGTTGCAGCAAAGTTTTTCATATAGAAGTGTTAGCTATCCAAAAATTGATATTGTTAGCTGTAATTTATTCCACCATTTCATCCACTCTGCGGTCTCTCCATAACTCGTGAAGAATTGAATAAATTAAAAAAAAAGTGTAAATATAATTCTGCTTATTTTATTCACTCAATAACTAAAAGTTATCGAAATTGGTACATGTTGACTGGGCTTGAAATAACAGGAACCTACCCAACATTTCTTTATTTTTCTTTATCTCATAGGCATAAGTTAATTAATTAAATCTTTTGTAATGTTCAAGAACTCCATGTAGATTAGAGTTGCTCATGGCTGGGTTGGGTAGGATATGGGTCGGATTTAATATGATATTTTAATATTTAAGTAAGTTCAGATTTGGTCCAATTTGATTTTTTGGATATTATTTTTTGTTTAAATTTATTTTTATATATAATAATAATAAAATTCAAGTTCGTCAAAGTATTAGTATTTAAAATTAAAAAAATAATTTTTTTAATTTTTTTTGTAAATTATTAATTTAATTAATTTTAATTAAATTTATGACCCATTTGTGGTTAGATTCATTTTAATTTTGTTGAATATAATTTAAAATTAAATTATTATTTTAATATTTTATATAAAAAAATAATTTTTATTCTATTATAAATAATAAAGCAAATGGGCCTTATCCATCATAAAAATAAAGCAAATGTATTTTATCTCATTATAATAAAAATATTTTTTTAATTTTTAGATTGGATCAAGCTAAGTTCGGACCTTAAATGATGAAATTTAAGCTCAATTTTATTTTTTGATTAGCTCTTATTTATTTGTTTAGGTATTTTAAATGAGCTTAATATTCATGTCTAAATTTTTTAAAATTTTGGATAAATTTTTTGATTCAGACAAACTGTCTAACTTATGAGCAAATTTAATATAGATGTATAAGAATTAATTGACAAATAGATATTCAAATAATTTTTCAAATATTATGTCTAAGTAGTAATTTTCATTTTTTATGATTTGGTGAACTTGGTATCAATTGTTTAAATTAACCTACATATGTAAAGTTTAAAATTTTTATAAAGCATTGATTGGATAGGTAAGCTTAAAACAAAATTAAGGAGATATATATTGATGCACAACCAAGAAAGTGAATAAAAAAAAGAATGAAAAACTAACCTCAATCACTAGATCAAATGCAAAAGGTAAAATTTCCCCTTTTTTTTTTTCAAGAGCACGATAATTTTTCTTCTAATCGTATTGGTTCTTCATGTGAGTCAATGCCAATGTGGCCATGTGGGTATGAATTGAAATTTTTAAAAGCTGTCTAAGAGGGGAATATGATGCTATGAGAGACAACTACTTCTATGAAAATTGCGACCTTTTTTAGCATTAAAAAAAAAGAAAGGAGTGTGGCCTTTTCTGCTAAATGGAAGGATAATAAAAATTCGACACTCCTAGGGAAAAATAAAATTAAAGAGTGTTGTATCAATTTATGGCGCTCATAAATTGGCAAACACTATGCTAAAGCCATAGCAAACTAAATCATCACTTAATTTTTTTTTTAATAACAAAAATCCCACCACAACATCTCAATGTTTGTTTATATATAACCCCAACACATGCAAGATTTATCCATAGATATTCATCAAAGAATTAATATTGCAATATAGAGAGGGGATTCCTCTGGGTTCTTCCCTAAAATGACAAACAAAGAAAACTCAGTGGCTGTGGTCATGGTGCCATTTCCAGCACAAGGCCATCTAAACCAGCTACTTCACCTGTCTCGGATCATCCTCTCCTATGGGATCCCGGTCCATTATGTTGGTACATCCACACACAATCTACAGGCAAAGGTCCGAGTCCATGGTTGGGAACCGGAAGCTGTTGATAGTTTCCATTTCCATGACTGCCAAATCCCTCCTTTTCTTTCCCCTTCTCCTAACCCCAATGCAGCAATCAAGTTCCCTTCTCATCTCCAGCCATGTTTTGATGCCTGCTGGCATCTTCGTGAGCCTGTCACTGAACTGTTACGCATGCTTTCTTTGCAAGCAAGAAAGGTCATTATCATTCATGATTCTATGATGGGATCTGTAGTTCAAGAAGTTTGTTCAATCCCCAACGTAGAGTCCTATGCTTTTCACACTGTTTCTGCATTTTCTCTCTTCTTTTATGTATGGGAATCGATGGGGAAGCCAAAAGTTAATGCAGAAATGCCTGATGAAGGTGATGTTCCTTCTCTTGAAGGATGCTTCACCAATGATTTCTTGGAGTTCATTGCTTTGCAATACCAATATCTCAAAGTCAATGCTGGGAATATATACAACACAAGCAAAGTGATTGAAGGTACTTACCTTGAATTGCTTGGTGACACAATGAAAGGAAAGCAATATTGGGCATTAGGGCCATTTAATCCAGTAAGAGTACCAGAGAAAAATAGTTCGGCTAGCCGACACTACTGCTTGGAATGGCTTGACAAACAGGCCATAAACTCTGTTCTTTACGTGTCTTTTGGGACAACAACCACCATGGATGATGAACAAATCAAGGAGCTGGCGATCGGTTTGAGGAGAAGCAATCAAAAGTTCATTTGGGTACTAAGAGATGCAGACAAAGGAGATGTTTTCAATGGAGACGTTAGAATACCTGAGCTTCCAAAAGGGTACGAAGATTCAGTGAAAGATATGGGGTTGGTGGTGAGACACTGGGCACCTCAGCTGGAGATTTTAGCCCACCCAGCCACAGGTGGCTTTGTGAGCCACTGTGGCTGGAATTCATGCATGGAAAGTATTACCATGGGCGTACCAATAGGGGCATGGCCTATGCATTCTGATCAACCAAGAAACACAGTGCTAATCACAAAATTGCTCAAAGTTGGCATTGCTGTCAAGGACTGGGCACACCGGGATGAGATAGTAACAGCAGCGATGGTTGAAGATGCTGTGAAACGGTTGATGGCTTCAAAAGAAGGAGATGACATAAGAAAGAGGGCAGCAGAACTAGGTGGCTCGGTGCGGCAGTCGGTGGGTGAAGGTCACGTTTCTCGGAAGGAATGGGACTCTTTCATTACTCATATCACTAGGTAGGTTTGTCATTATAATTATTACCACAGTAATGCTATCCGAAAATTTCCTTTCAAGTTTATTTCAATCTATGAAACAAAATGTAGTGCCTTTTCAGTCTTTAAATCTATGAAAAAAATTTATGGAAATGAAACAAAGAGAAGAAAATGGTTACATTCTCATTTTCCATCATATATATTCATTATTCATAAAATATACATTTCACAATGACTCGTTATGTATGAATCATTATAACAAATAAAGTTTTTACTAATAAAAATTTTCATCGTTGAAAGTTTGATTACTGTCAATATTTATTTACGAATGTAAATATACGTATGCACTTACAATTAAAAGTGCAAGTAAAAGTAAAATCTTGTTCAAAAAATTAACAAAGAAAATAAATTAATTAATAGAGTATAAGGTGGAATCTTTTCCTCTTTGGCAATATCATTATATTGCCATGAATCAATGTTGGACCATTAAGGATTAAGGACTAATTATTAAAGCCAAAATAGACCTTCCATCCAAACATCCAGCTGGATGGCTTACAAAATGTACAAGTCTAAATTCATAATTAATCAGTAGAAAGCACACTAGAAAAAGAATGGGATTTCCTCTTAATTAAAAGAATAATACTCTTGATATAAAATAAGGATGTGTAGAAGCTGTTCAATTGCAACTACTGCTACCGATTTTGTACAAAAGGAAATGAATATGCAAAAAAGAAGGGTTGTTGCAAAGAATGAATAGAAAAATAGGAGGTAGCATCATTTAGGATTTATCCAAATTTTATGTTGGATTAATGTCCTGAACATATCTTAAACGCTAAATTTTAAAAATTTTTAATATTATATTAAGATTATGAATTTATTAATTAATGTGATATTCATTTTAATATAATTAGTTTCAAATAATAACACATTATAAATAACTAACTTTACAAATATCATATTAGATAATAGATTTATAATTCGTATATTGAACATTTTATTATAATTTAAGAGATATTCATAATATTAACCGTTCAATCTTTTAAATTACGAATGGCCTGTTGGTTGTATTAAACGAGTTTTGGTGATTTTATAATTAAATAACCAACCAATGAGCAATAGTTTTCAAAGAAATTAAAGGGATAGCTATGCATATGTAAAATTAATCCCCTTCAAACCACCCATCCCTTTCCTTGCACAACCCCAATTATTGTTCTCACTTTCCTGATTACATCACATCACTTTCTAAAATTAACTTGTCCTCTGCTCATGCATATGTATTCTTTTTTCTCTATAGTAGTCACTGTGAAAGTTAATTTGCTAAGTTGCCATTGCTAGATCATTTTAAACGTGGAATTGAAGAGCATGTGCAGTTAAGATTTAAGCAACAGCTACACACCACCAAGCATTATCATTAATGCATCCACTTACCATTGCTAAAGAGATAAAAGAGGAAACAAAAATAAATGAACTTTTTAGGTAATGAAACTTTAAAAACTTTCATATCCAAAGGTCCAAAAGCAACGCTCTGATAGTAAGAGTTTAAAACTTAATTTTGGAAGTCTCAAAACTTTAAGATGAATGGGTTATCTCCTATTGTGTTGCTTAATATCATATGTATTAAAAATAAAAGAAAATTGAAAAACTATGGAGTGGTTGAAAACTTATTATATGTCAACCGCATGCATATTAGTTCAGATGACATGCATGCTAGTTAGACTCTTAAAGGTTTGTCCTTTTCAAGTGAATTAAGTAGATAGGGGGTTTAGATTAAGGTAGATTAGAAATTTCTAAAAAAAAAAAAAAAGAGAAATTATAATTAATGGCTAGATTATCAAAAAAGTTTTTTTTTTTTAATTTTTCAAATTTCTTAAATAAGACAATATTTTTTTATTGTTCCTAATTACACTCTTAAAGTACTTTTTTTATTTAATTAAGTTTTTAAAATATTATTTTTGTCTAATTAAATCCTTAAATATTATTTTTATTTAATTAAACTAACAATTTTAGTGCTTTTAATATAAAATAAAAACTTAATTAAACAAAAATAATACTTTAAAGCTCAATTAGGTGCAATAGAAAGATCAAGGCTTATTTAAAATTTTGAAAAAAAATAAGGGCTTTGGTAGTGTTTAATAATCCACAATCAATAGCTACAACTATTTCCACATTCTACTTTTGTTCTCTTAGATTTCGAACAAAGCTTCTTCTTACTTAATATATATATATATATATATATATATATATATATATATATATAAACCCACAATTAATAGTGAATAGACATAACATTTTCCCAAGATTAGTGATGATAACTTGGAGAAAGCCCAAGGTAAGCAATTAATAAAGAAGAAAATGGTAGAATTTTTAGTATCACTTTAATAAAATATCCTTACTACAGAAAAATGGTGTATTAGTAGTGTCATAACGTCTAGATCCGAGGATATATCACTAGACATTGATTTTTAGGGAGTCGTCACCAATCTTTTTTATCTAGGTGCGATTGATCACCTAAGGAATCTGTCATTTCAGGGAACACCTAATTTTAAGGGTCCCTAAAAGAATATGATCAGGTCTACTAACCAGAACAGAGTTCGAGAGTTCGGTTACGTGTGAGGAAGGTTATAGCACCCTCATAATGCCCATCAAAAAATGATACCAACTTAAATTTGTGTTATCTAATGAGCCTTAAAATTTTACCAAGTAATTAATTATTGAAAATTATTTTCAATTGACTCTAATACTTTTAGTAGAAAATTGAGAAAATCTCCTCACCTCAAGAGTATGCAAGAAAAACTACTGTTTCACTTGCAGAGGCTCCATCGTCAAATTATTTAACATTTAAAAAAAATAAAAAGAAAGAAAAGAATGATTGTTTTTGTGTAGGAAAAATTGATACTTTCAACTTTTCCTCAAAAATTTATTTTTTGAAAATTTATTTTTAAGAAAAATTGATACTTTCAACTTTTTACCAAAAATATTTTTTGAAAACTTTGATTTTCGAGGAAAATTGATACTTTCAATTTTTCCTCAAAAAAAACTTTTTTGAAAATTTATTTTTAAGGAAAATTGATACTTTTAACTTTTCCCCAAAAATATTTTTTGGAAACTTTGATTTTCGAGAAAAATTGATACTTTCAACTTTTCCTAAAAAAAAAACCTTCTTTTGAAAATTTATTTTTAAGAAAAATTGATATTTTCAACTTTTCTTCAAAAATATTTTTTTTGGATTCTTTGATTTTCGAGGAAAATTGATATTTTCAATTTTTCCTCAAAAAAAACTTTTTTAAAAATTTATTTTTAAAGGAAAATTGATACTTTTAACTTTTTCCCAAAAATATTTTTTGGAAACTTTGATTTTCAAGGAAAATTGATACTTTCAACTTTTCCTCAAAAACCTTTTTTTGAAATTTTATTTTTAAGGAAAATTGGTACTTTCAACTTTTCCCCAAAAAATATTTTTTTTGGATTTTATTTAAAGAAAATAAAATAATAAAATAAAATAAAAGTGAAAATAAAAAAAGAGTAAAATAAAAATAAAAATAAAATGAAAATAAAAGAACATTAAATAATCCTAATTTAATAAATAAAATAATAAATAAATAAATAAATATATAAAAAAAAAATTGGAAGCGGCTCGGAATACGGCTCAACTCGGCTCAAGGAAGAGAAATGGCTAGGAGAAGCAGCTCGAGACGTCGGCTCGGCTCGACTAACGGCTCCGGGAGGCAAAACACGCGCGAGTCAGAAAGCGGGTTGACGCTCGGGTCGGGTCGGATCTCGGCAAAACGCGCGGATCTTCTGGGTTATTTAACGTAAAAACGACGTCGTTTTAGGAGGGTATATATGGTTGTTTCCTTCGTTTTTCGACAAAAACCTTCTCCCCTCTCTCTCTCTTCCTTCTTTTTTCTCTCGCTTCTCTCTAAAACGGTCGAAGAACTCCGGTTGAATATTCATCGAATTCTGAAATTTTTCATTGGAATCTAAGTTTTTCTTTGAAAGTTCATCGAAAAGTTGATCGATTTCTGAGAATCTTCACCGAAAACTGGGCAGCTGGCCGAAAACTTCAAACTTGGCTGAAATTGTTGCCAAAAAATTCAACATTCGTCGAAAAAATCATCGGAATCTGGAAATTTTCCAAAAATTTTCAGAAAAAAATTTTGCCAAAAATCTCCAAAATTTTTTTATGATTCCTACAGCTGTTCTAACACTTTTAAACCTTTTCTTAGCCTTCAAAAATCTTCTATACACTCTTTTCTCTCAATCAATAGCTTTTTTTCCACTGTTTTTCTGTGTCTGTTGTTTCGTTCCAGAGGATCCCTTTTATAGGGATTGATCAGAAGAGTTTCTGATCAATCCAATTCCTCTTTGGATCGAGATTCAATCATTGAATCCAACATGGACTCTTCTGATTGAATCCCAATCCAATTTCCAACCAGATAAATCAAAAAAATAAAAGAAAAAAATCAAATGAAAATAAATCAGATAAATCAAAAAAATTAACAAATAAATTAAAATTAAATAATACATAATACATAATCTGATATATATAAATATTAACAGGAAAAAAAATAAAGATATATACATATTAATAAATAAGTAAATAGCTAAGATAAAAATAAAGGAAAAAATATATATAAAATAATAAAAATAAAAATAAAAATAAAAATAGAATAAAATAATAAAAATAATAAAATAAAAATAAAAAATAAAAATGAAAAAAAATATAAAGAAAAAAAAGAACATAGACTTACCTATTTGGACCAGGCCCAATTGATCCGGGCCTAGATCAAATTGAGTGTCTACAAGTGGTAGTTTTGTAGCGGTCTTTTACTTACAAACACCATTAGTTTTCGTGTTTTTATAAAACTTCAGGCGTTTATTATCCAAACGTCACTAAATATTTAAATAGCGACGTTGTTACTTATAAACGCCACCAAAGACTTAATATTAGAGGTGTTTCTCGACTAAAATGCCTTAAATATTTTTTATTAAAAATTTCAGTGAATAGTTAAGGTATATTTTTGGCAAACAACTCATTCAATAATCATATCATACAAAATTGTATGAAATTAATGAAGGCGTTGTCTACAAGAAACGGCTTTAATATTTGGACCAAAAAATTTCACAGG